TGCTTCTGGTACGAAGACCACGGGGGCATCTAACCCCGCCGTCACACACTCGCCTAACAACGGAACTTCCATCACCCCTAGCACGCTGCCTGTTTCTGGTGCAAACTCCAACATCATGTCGCTCTTTGGGGCCATTTCCGCCGTCGTCGCTGCTGCGATGATCATGCCTGTTTTCTAAATTGCCAGATGGCCACAATAGTCTCCGTCAACGTTTTGGTTTTTCTTTGTGCTTGGACATAGTTTTCTCTACATGTATGCTTGCAGATTGTATTAATTAGTCCACTAGCTACCTGGCTGTTTCGTACCTGTAGTAAAAAGTCAGAAAGCTAGTGGTATTCTCTAAATATGGAGAATCCAGATAGATTTGCTTCCTAGCATGAAGTTTTTGCCCAAAAATGAGGGGATCATTTGTGTTTTTTAACAAAGAGGAGGTAGTAGAATCTATTCCGTTCAAATAAGAATATTTAATGTCTCAATGTCGAGACACCGCGATCGTATAGGGCTATGTCCAGAATAAAGTCTCTGGCTGTATCAACGGCTTGGAAGTTAGCTTATCTGTGTCCATATTGTTTTAGGTAGAACGTGTCTTTTTGCTACGTCATCGGCGTTAGTATTGTATGGGAATCTATCAAATGTGCTGCTTTGTTTTCCCATCAGATCCCCAAGCTTAGCGGTTTCATTAGACCTGTTATTGTTAGGACACAGGTAGGCAACGATCTACAGAGGAACCGGCCAGTGATGGATCAAAGGCACGGCGGCCACCTTGAGGCCATGCTTGGCAAGTCCAAGTACGAGAGAAATTGAATTGACTGAGAGAAAGTGTTGCGTGAGTTGCAGATCTAAATGTGGAAGATGTCCGACCAAAGTGACTCGTCTTTCTGCATGTTTGGCGATCGTTATCAGCTTGCTAAATTAAATGGCAAAGGGCATTCCTTCATCAGCCTTTGGTGTCGTACAGATACAGCGATATCGTTCGGAATTCCGTCCTTTTTGTGGCTCTGAGTCACGCATCGGATATTGATCAGCCAAAAAGCCCCGTGTGCGTCGTGAGCCCAGGCCTACTATTTCCCCATCCCCATCGACGCATCAGACCATACGCAGAAGCCAATAAGAGCACATAATGAGAAACAGTCTAACGTTCTGTTCCTCTTGACAAGGAGCCTGAGCCGAGATCCGATAGGTATCCGATGCATGGAACGTTGCCCATGCATGTCTTGAGTTCAGATATTATGTCACTCCGCATAATAGAAGAGAAAATAGGTCTGTCTGGAACAACAGGTTGCTGCACAGCGGAGCGCCATTCCCTGGCCTGAAATTAATGCCGCGTGCCACCAAATTTGCTATACGAAGAAGTGATATGTGACGGCTGCTTTCCATGGCTTGTATTGGACCGACGGCTGCATGCTGTACCTGCATCTGCAGGTGTTGTTTGTGGCGGCCCTCGGGTGTTTCACAGAGACACACGGGCCTTCTCCAAGACACGGACGATGGTCCAGTTACAATCTATGACCTCCCGACCCCAGCAGCTGAACTTGCTCGGCAGATTCGCGATTGGGTGTTGCTATCAAGATGCCTCCACTCGGCAGTCGCTCGAGCATTTGGGTTGTCGTCCTTCGCAATAAAAGCTGCCATGGCGCTAGGCCAAAGTAATTATTGCTGTTGGCTGACCGCTTTGGTGTTTGCCCGTCTTGTCATTTATTACGTAGGAGTTCAGCTCACCGTGTCAGCTACTGCAAGGGCTTTTTGGGCTTGGCATGGCTGATGATGATCATGCTCTAGGCCGATCGGTCTATCCCTATGCAGTGAGTGCTGTTGCACAGGCTTTGGAGGATTCTTGTCTTCCTTTTTAAATCATGTGCCAAGGTCGTTATGCTTTTGATTCATCTCCGCTCGTTGCACCTGCGAAGCATACGGGATATTCTTCAAGTATATACACGCTGGCAGCCCCCTTTGTCTAGCCTCTTCAGCACACACATCTTCCGCCCATCGAGTAATTCACGGACCGTTCCTTTCACTACTTTGTTTTTTCCGTTGAGAATACCTTCGTTCTTCTGCCGTGTGTTTCTCTCGTCTAAAGCCTTTTTGTCTCATTCGCTATCAGGAGGAATCCCGTCACATTCGTTTTTAAGCAATGATTTGGGATTTCATCATTGTTGGAGGGGGCCTTGCTGGCTCTGTTATCTCTAACAGACTGCATGGTACCTTGCCAAAAGCTAACATCTTAGTGGTGGAGGCAGGCCTGAATGCCAATAATGATCAAGGCATTCTATACCCCAATGGGACCGGGTCTCTCTCTCCCTATCTCTGGTACATTGAAACTCCACCGCAGCCGTTTCTCAACGGCCGTAAGATTGGCATGGGCCAGGGAACTGGCCTTGGTGGAGGTACCGTTGTGAATGGTGGTAAGTGTTGACACTTCCATGATCGTGGAATATATCGCTGACAAGGGCTCACTATTTAGCGATATGGACTCGTGGTGACCACGAGGATTACGACATTTGGGGTGAGACAGTTGGAGATGACCGATGGACCTATGAGGGCTTGCTTCCTTACATGAAAGCTTCTGAACAGTTTCGTTCGCCTGACCGAAACCCTGACCAGCATGGCTTCAATGGCCCCGTACATGCCCAAACCGTTACATCAACAGGTCGCAAATACCCTCTTCGTGAGCCTGTTCTGGGGTCATGGCAAGAAATTGGATACACTCCTGCCCCCAGTTTTGATGGAAACAGCGGGAGCCCTATTGGTATTGCCGACGTCTGTGAGAACAGAAATAATGGCAGACGGCAAATTGCCTCAGTGGTCTATCCTCTTGATGGCATCACAGTTCTCACGGAGACCTTTGTGCAGAATATTTTGATCAATGGGACTGTGGCTGAGGGCGTCAAACTTGTCAACGGCACCGACATCAAGACAAAGCATGTCGTACTTTCTGCCGGGGCACTCCGCACTCCCCAGCTTCTGATGCTTTCAGGTGTTGGTCCCCAGGATGAACTTCAAAAGTACAACATTCCAGTCAAGGTGCTATCTCCCGAAGTTGGGAAGAATTTGATCGACCACTCTATCATCGACACCAACTGGAAGATCAAGAATCCATCCCAAGGATGGGTTCCAGGCTCAAATAACCCTCTGTTTCAGCAGCCTGAGTTCTCTCTTGGGCAGGCTCAAGACTTCATGGTGTGCGATACGGTCCCACGCACAGGTCTCATTGCTGCTATCGCTGCCGATGAAGGTGCGGAGCCCGACGAAAATTCTCACCCTCTTCTAAGGAAAGACGATCGGACGTTCCTTGAGCTGAACTTGAAGTATGGATACTCCAAGGATGGTAGTAGCCTCAACTTCCAGTCCTACATGATGCTCAGTCAAACACGTGGCACCGTAACTCTTGGATCCACTAACGCAAAGGACTTCCCGATTGTTGACCCCAAGTACTTCAGTACGGAGGTTGAGAGATACGTTCACCGCCAGGGTCTGCGTGCGATCTTTCGTCTCGCGGGGACTGATAACACTACTCTAGGTCGTGATATTCTTGCAGGGGAGGTCGTGCCGGGATCTCAAGTTCCCCTTCGGGAGGATATCACTGACGCTGAGCTTGATCAGAGACTCAAGGCTGGAATTCGGTATGCTTGAATTTTTCTAGTGCAAACTCCTGCATCTTCCAATAAGTATTGTTAGCTAACATTGGCAATTACTCCCCAGGGCTGGTCTTCATTTTCTGGGTACAGCCTCTATGGGCAAGGTCGTCGACACCAACCTGAAGGTCAACGGTGTCAAGGGGCTCTTTGTTGCCGATGCGTCCATTGTTCCTGTTCCCATTGCTGCTCATACCCAGGTCGTCGTCTATGCTCTTGCCGAGCAGGCAGCTGAAATCATTGCTGAACAAGCCGCGAATGACGGTGATAATGATGACAAGGATGACGACGATGGTAGCGATGATAATGGCATTGGTGCTGGGCCGGGAAATGGAAATAAAACCCCTGAGTCAGGCAGGCCCAAGTGCCGAAAGAGAAACTCGCAAGGGCGCAAGGCGTAGTATCAAGGTCATAGCGATGGTATGCATTAGTTTTCTTCGCTTTGGTAATGGCAGCGGGAGAAATAAACCCGATTCCTGTGTAGAAACACTCATTGGCATGCCCTCATATAATGGAGGCCATAGTGTATATCAGAAAACATGGACACATCAGTGGCATCTCTAAGCCTAAGGTGGAACGAACTATGCTGGCCATGAGAATTTTCTCAAAGGGAAGAATTCGGGTGTGGTAAAACTTTCTTTTATCGCCGCCAGGAGATCATTTTAGTTGTATGTCTGATATTGTTAGTCAATGCTTTCCTGTGAAACTAATCAGCCTTCATGAGTTCGAATGTGTGCAAGTTCAATATGATAAGAAAACAAATTGGAGCAAGGTCTCCAGGCTTTGCCGGCGGTGTTCCTGATAGCATCTTTTGCCTTGCTTGACCGAACGTGTTCTGGTAGCCCGAAGATAGCAAGTATGGAGACGTACCTAGGACTGGGCGCCTAAATCTCTACGTACGCGCTTACGCCTACTACTCCCTTATGCCGACATGCCTACTTCACCGAGCTTCAAGAAGTTAAAACTTCACTCTACCAATTCACAGTCGCGAACTATGGCATAGCCCTGCCGATATGTATCCAAACTGAATCTACCCAAACATGGTCGCTTAACTCAGTTGGTTAGAGTGCCGTACTAATATATCTACCCGATATCCTAGTAATGCGGACGTCGCCAGTTCGATCCTGGTAGTGACCATCTATTTTCACCTTCTTCATTGCTTAGACAATTTGTTTTCAATGTTCGATATTTTTTTTTTGGAACAATGCTTGATGCTTTGCCCGCTCCTCCTTTTCAATTAAAGTATACCTCGTTATATAGCAATGCCTACACGCTTCTTAAGATGAGGGCAAAATTGCCCCTGTGTGGATAGTACTAGTTGTGGAAGGAATATGAAATACACCAAAGGCAACAGCTTCTGGCTTCCAATTATCTATATCGGTACATTCTAAAATCTTCAGCCGGGCTTTCAAGTTCCAGGATATGTCTGCTGTCCGCTTCTTGAAACCTCGTCGGGACATATCCTTCTGCTTCATGCACCTTTTGTGGCGCATCTACCTCGTGAGGCGTCCAAGGAGGACTTTCTCGAGGGACAGACCCCGCGCTACTGCAATCAATGCTTGCAATGTGTACAATTTCCTTTTGCTTCATAGCCTCATCAGCTGAGTCCTCTGGTCGGCTCACCTCGACCTCCTGTGGTGAGCTCTTCTTTGCCTGCTGATGGGAACGCCGCCAAAGAAGGGCAATGCCTACCAGCAAGCAAAGGCCCGCGACTCCCACACCCGCCCCTATGCCAGCTTTGGCCGGAGTTGAAAGCCCGGATGTAGCTGGATGTGATTCTTCTGATCCAGCGGACTCTTTCGAATCCGATGTTTGTTCACCTCCAGACCCAGTGGAGTTTGGTGTACTCGAAGCTTCTGTATTTTCGGGAGAGGTGGTCGATATCCCGGTAGGATAATCAGATGATTGCCACCGGACTTCGGCGCCATACGCGTAGATCACTTGATCTGAACCACTGGTGGTAACGATTTTTGTCTTTGCTTCCCCCAGAGTTGTCGTTGTATAGATAAACTCTACAGTCTTGGCAATCTTTCGAGTACAGCGATCCGTGGCCATAAAGTCATACTCTAGATCACGTATACAGTCATAAGTGCTAAGCCCACGCAATCAGTTGTCGAACCAGGCTAGTTATAGCACATAGATGAGAAGATTTATATAGGACCTACCCTTGTGAGCCGTCGTCAGGGCAGCAAGTGGCTATAGTCTCTTTGGCTCCCGTTGAAGCACATGCCACCGTGTGCTTTCTCGGGCATCCGGCAGGTGACATGAAAGCGCCCTCGTCGGGACTCCATTCTTTTGGGAAGCACTTGGCCGTATATGTGGGTGCACCCAAGTGAAAGTAGCTGCAAGGGGTAGGTTTGGTGCCTTGGAAGCAGGTTTCCTCTGGAGCATCGACTAGGTAGATCTCCTTTACACATGACATTACCGCCGTGTAAGTGAATGGCAAGAGAGTGGTCAGCGATGCCACGGCGGTAATTGCTGTAGTGGACGCCATTTGAAGCAAACGATTTGTGAGATATGATATTCACGAAGTTGTAGGTCTGGAATCCAAAGGTTGCGTGCGATCACCATGCCTTTATTGCCATTCTTTCAGCAGGGAGTGGAGCCTGTAGGATGCTACCATGACGCATTGGACGGTAGCGAGGCAAATGGGATTGACTTGGCACGGTCGTCGCTCCAAGCCATTGTATAAATAATGCAGGAAAGCTCACAAATTCTGAACGGCAATATATCCAGCAAAACTCGAGGTATGACACATTGACTCCAAGTTCGAATCTAAGCTCGTCTTCTGCCTTTAGGCATTCCCTATCGGTCCCTATTCTAATTTGAGTTACGAGAGCTCTTCAGTTAGCGAAGTCTCTCACCTGTTGGTAAAATAGTGAGCAGAGAGGCGATTGGCTCGTTTATCACGCGTTGCCTGGAAACTCAGGGCCGAGGCTTTCAGCTACTGTGGCAAGGATTCAGTCGCATGGTCTCACTGCATCTTGTTAATGCAATGATGTGGTTTGAATCCTAAAAAGTGACTCTGACTCGATATGTGAGTCTTGATTGAGAGAGAGCTGAAAAAAATGCCCCACCGATGGACATGATCAAGTGTTTCAGGCCTGCATACAGCCTTAATTGTACATAGTGCTTGCTGGGACAGGGCAAGGAATGTAGAGTTCAGGGACCCCGGTGTAAGGCAGACTCGATGTATGTGGCGTATCGAGCTCTTATGAAAGAGTTATGAAAGAGGCATTGGCGAGCGAGCTGAGATTGAAAACATATGTTGGCCTGATAATTGGATATTTATAGCTCAATCACTTCACTCATTACCCCCTTGCGGACTGCTCAGGTGTCTGGCGGTATGCATGATGGAATGGTAGTTGAAATATAAGGATGTATTAGAAGTAAGGAAAGGTAGGCTTGGCTAAGATCAAGAGTCCTGTTAAGTCTCTGGATTTGACTATATGTATCGAGATGGCAGAGACAGAGCATCTAGAACCCCAATGGCCTTTTTTAACATACGACGTATCAAGTTTGTTTCTATACGTTTAGGAGTAGTTTATTTTATAATATCAAGGAGCTACTAGCTCAGTAGGAGCACCTTTTATTCTTTTTTTTCTCTTAATTTCTAAGGCAGAAGTGAGATAGAGCTTTAACTAGTATATTAGGGGTAAAATAAATAATACTATAGCTATTAGTAAGTTTAAAATACAGACTGCTAACTATACTAAAATCTAATAACTTTCTATAATAACTATAAAAAGAAGGTTTTAAGTTTTATATATATTCTTATTTAATTAAATAGATTATATTTATAATTAGTTAATTAATCTATTATAGCTATTATAATATTATAAAAGATATATCTTTTATAAGAAAAGATTTTTATTATACTATAAGCAGGGGTCTTGGAGCTCTCTATAAAAGCAGCTATTCTTAGCTAGTAGATAGAAAAAAGTTAAGCCTTTAGAATTATATTATCTTATATATAAGTAAAGATATTATAACCCTAGGCTTTAATTATATATTATCTAAACCTAGCTACCCTATAGCTAACTTCTAATATTATAACTATAATACCAGCCTGATTAAGGCCAGCCTAAGTATAATATATAGTAGTAATTCTCTATTATTATAAAACCTTAAATACTTAAATTAATAGCTTAAAAGAGAGTAATAAAAGAAAAAACCTAGCTAGATACCAGAAGAAGATAGCTTAGAAGTAAGTTTAAAAGCTAGTTTAAGGAATAAGTTAATTACCCTAAGAGAAATTAAATATATCTATTAGATTATTAATTTCCTTAAAAATAACCTAAGCTTTATAATATAAAATAGGTTATTATAAATAATAGTAATAGCTTAATTAGTTATAATATTTATTAAATATATTAATAAAAAATACTTCTTTTTCTATCTACTAAGTAAATAGAATATTAAAATACTA